TAAATTTACCAACATGGTGGGACAAATATTGCAGTCAAACAAATGTTTTGGTCAATACAGGGGGGGGGACAACAGAAAGCATGATCTGAATTTTGATTCTTAAATACACTTAGTGAAGTGTTAGAAAATATATTGAACTGTTATGAAGATTGGAGCACAATACAATTTGACAAGAATAAGAAATTGTACACATTTGAATCCACAAACAGACAACAAGCAATACTTTTAGCTTCCTATGGTGCATAGGAGATAATTCCTTTCATAGACAAATAAAGTCAAGATATATTGAGACCAGATGATCCGTAATGAACCATAGATATATAAAATGTTTCAGTGGTGATTATGATAGTGCAGAGATAATAAAATAAGGACAGGTTTGTGACTGAAACAATGAGGATGTTCTCTTAGAAGTTATGACATAAAATAGAAATATATAATGTTCAGGCCAAATCAAGCAAACATTGGGAAAACCCTTACCAAGAGAATGGCTCCAGTTTTAAATGATCCCAATGACAGCATCTCAATCCCCTGCAAAATTGAAGTGTTAAGGTTCTGGCCAACTAAAAACTGGTGCGTAAAACAAATCAAACGATTTTAGGTTTTATTCCATAATCTTTAGTAATGTATATGAATGTTAACCGTACAAACAAACCTGAATACAGAAAGCCAATCCCAGAACATTGTTTGCAAGCCAATGCTTCTTTGACGCATACCACAAGCAAAAGAAAAATCCAGGTATTGAAGCAACAATCTGGGACTTTGTGAACTCCACTGAGAGTGCTAAAATAAGAAATTCATGGACTTAAATCATCTTCGAGAATAAAGATTGCAAAGGGAGGCTACTGGCATAGTTAAATCCAGTACTCCATGTCCTTGTTCTGAATTAAGAGTCTAAGCCTCATAAGAAGTCAATCAAATGCAAAGGTTGTATTAAAAGTTAACACGATGACAGCCATTGTAACTGAAATCTTATAATATGTCTGTTTCAGAGGGAGAAATGGAAGCTTCCATATCCACAAAAATGCTGTAAACAAAGAATATACATCCATGCCAGTATTTAGATTTCTAATGTCAAAAAATGGAAGCTTCCATATCCACATGGAGAAATATCATTCTGTCCGTAGCAAGGTTAAAAGATTCAATGGTGAAAAAGCTCGAGTTCATTCAGTACAAAAGATAATATATCATTCAGTATGAAAAATGCGCAGCAGTACTTAAAATACAATCAAATAGTGCTCTAAAATAGCACTGAAAACATAGGTGTAGTAATATTTCAAGATCTGCATAACTGGATCAACAAGACTAAGCACAAAGGATCAACACGACTAAGCACAAAAGAAATGGAGTCGGGATCATACAGTGGAAAAATGGAGCCCGCCAGACGATGAGATTATCATTCCACTCTTTTGGAAGAAAATGTTTTATAGAAGGAAGGAGTGTTGCACTGCATAAGAAGGGCCTCGTAAGTACAGCACATAAACAGCTTAACATGTCTGCAAAAGCTATTAGAAGAAAAAATGGACTTACGAGAGAGCAACAATGCCTAGAATGAAAAAGTAGGCAGTGAGCACAGCGTTGACCAAGTCTTTTGAGAGAAACTTGAATAGAAGGAACAGTGATAAAAGCATAGCACTTCCAACTAAGGGGAACCGCATAGCATGCTCCTTGGACATGGTCTCCTGCATAATAACAAATGCAAAAATAATTCAGTTGGTCACATGAGTTACAAGTCACAATAATAGCCAGCAGATACATCGACGTGTTACTTACAGAGGGTGGAGTTGGCTTGACAGAACGGTAGCAACCCACATAGACAGTAAGGCATGCTGTCAATACCACATTCACATTTGGGTTTACGTTAACAACAAGTGGCGCCAAGCTCAGACCTGCATATTGTAAAATACATATGCTGCTGAGGTCAGCACGGGCTTATTATATCAAAGGGAAAGGAAGAAGGAAAGGAGCTATGTAAAGGCAGTCATGGCTCAACTGCACAATTAACATACCGGCAAGAGCCAAATTGGCAGCACGTTCATGCGTCCTCATTGTTAGGAAACAATCTGGGAGACTAGCAATGTGTCCTTTGTTGGAATATCAAATTGAACCTGCGAAGATGACGATGCACAAGAGGTGTTTTTTAGATCGAAGGCATTCACCCAGCGTTATTTAAAGCTTAACGAAAGCCCAAGATCCGAGGTTGGTGATACCAGCTTACAATTGGAGCACAGAGTTTAACTCGACTCTCAACACGACTTAACCGAACTCTAAACTGCACAAGAGGTGTTATCCCCGGCGACATACAAATAATGAGTTAGCAGAGCAAGTTCTGATCTGAAGCAGCCAGTGTTGAAGTTTTTGATCGAATAATCAGTAAGGCTAACGGTGGAAGAAATATCTAACGGTAGAACAGATGTAATTTTATCCAATTTGTTTTCCATTTGCATTCCACAATCCAAAAGCTCAGAGTTTTGTTCAGCAGTAATGTAATGTCAAAGAATGCTTCAGCTATTCACACTGAAACCCACAAGTCCAGCAAGCAAAACTTGGGAGCTACGAGCCTCCGACAGCATAAAGGATACAAAGTTCCTAAGTAAAATCATGCAGTAATACAATAGCAAGTTGTCGTGGTTCTGATGTCTTTCATCTCACAACTCAATTACCAAATTTTCCACAAGATTAACCGAATCAATTTCTCCTGAAAATCAACTTAAGAGAAGTGACTCCCAAAGGTCTGGTTTGCAAAACCCAGAGGCATAGTTTCTTTTTATTTATTTATTAACATATATGAATATAAGACCCGTCGACTGGGATTACCAAGTCCTACGGGGTCAACTGAGATTTTCAAGGCATCAGGGAGGCAACTGGGATCGACACAGCGAGCCGTAGAGGAGGATAATCGAACAGTGATCACAGCAATCGGCAGGCCGCAGCAAAACAAACACAGCACGAAACTAACTGTACAGACGCAGACAGTAATATGAATGAAACCCGCAGCCGCGGCAGAGAAATGATGGGGAGATCTCGCCGCACGAAACGTAGAGCGACTGGGGTTTACTCACCGAGGAACGAAGAGATCAGTCACCGGATCTCGAGCTGCTGTTGACCCCGTGCAGCTCCGGCAGAGGAAGGTTTTGGCGGGGGCGACGAAGGAAGGGAGGAGCACCGTCTCTGCGTTCCGTCGCCGGCGGTGAGGCCGGCTGCACGGGATGGGAGGAGGAAGAATTTGGGGATGAGCGGAAGGGAGGAGGGGAATGGCGGGAGTTATGGGGGTGTGTCTGTCTGCGTTTTTTTTCTTGCGGCTCAGTGTGGTGTGGCCCACCAACACGAGGTACTTGTGACGAACAGGTAAAGTTGATCAAAATTAAATTACCTCCTATAATTAAAAAAATGTATACTAAGCTCAGAATAAAGTTTTGTCAAAACATCACGCTAAAACATTACTTTCTCATTCTAAATTATATAAGACATTTTATATTGCTATATATACTTAAATATACGCTATGTCTAGATGTATGACAAAAATAGTGTACGTATAAAATCCAAAACTTTTTATAATTTAGAACAGATGGAGTAGTAAATAAATTTTAACTTTTAGATTGTTTGGTTTCAAAATACAGTTATATGTGTGATTTTTTATTGAAAATACTGGTTAAATAACAAATTTTTGAATGATTCTGAAAAATACGTTCTATCTAGACATCTAGTAGAATAAAATAGTGGTTAAATGTATGCTTCAAAATCGTGCAAAATAAAATGCAACAACTTACGTGTATTTTTTTTATCTTCGGGGTAACAATTTTGAAAATAAGAGTTTTATGGACTATGGTGGATATGGATATAGGAATCTATATCTATCTATCTATCTATATCTATGTCTATATCTATATCTCTTATAAAGTTAATTTCCATTGTAGTTTTATCTCACCATGCAAGCTATCCATGTCATGTCCCATAATAGTCATATCGTCACACTAACTTCCAAACTCCTATCAGTATCATCGGTAAGAATAATTACTACTTTCAACATATAAAGAAATATAGAATACATCCATATATTGATATTTGTTTTGCCATTCCATTAATTTGATCTAATTATATCAGTTTTTTATTAGATGTTTTCAATTGCCTTGTCCAATTTTAATAAGAATGGGTATAAGAACATATATATTCAACTTATATATGCAGTAATTTAATTTTTAAAGAAGCCCCGCAGCAACGTGCGCGGTATATGAAAGAAAAGAAAATCAACAGTTTAAAAGGAATGGTTTGTGATGACAAATTGGCGATGTCAACGAGCGCACAACACTTTGCGAATAAGGGGTATCTTGGGGTATGATTGGTGCATTTGATGACGTACCGTACAGAAAAGAAGACGAGCACAGGGTATTAAGTTCATTTATTGGAAAGAAGATATTGAGATCTTCAAGTGCACTTGAAAAAAAAAGGATATGGCAGTTCAGCTTTATTTAGCAAATTACGTCCACAAATTTCTAACTTGTTATTTATGGCAATCCAACTGTATTAACAAATTGCGTCTTCAAACTAAAATGCATATAATCTTCGGTGATCTTCTATCAAAAATGCATATGATCTTTGGTGATGATCTTCTATCTAAATGCATATGATCTGTGATCTTCGATCTAAAATGCATATGATCTTCGGTGATCTTCTATCTAAAATGCATATAATCTTTTCATAAAAATAATGCATATAATCCTCGGTGATGATGCCATTGACCTACATGCAGTCATCATCAAACCGTACTCGGCAACAAAACCTTAGAATAGAACATTCAGATTTCCGATAGCCCCTGACAGGATAGTTCAACCGGCCGTTTTTAACTGTAGGTCATCAGTAAACAAAATTTGATGTCCAGTTGCTTTCTCTACAGATCAGTCTAAGCTTTTGACCAAGAATATCATATGGCACGAATTACATGTCCCGTTTACAAGAAATACGAGTGAAACACAAACAATCAGAATTGGCAGCTTCATGTCTCTCTAAATGGCGTCAGGGACTACTAGAGCTTTGTTCCTTGACATTTCCCAGCCTGTCGCTTGTTTTGCTTTGCCAAACAACGATCTGCCAACATGTCATAGTTCATCATCGATCTGGATGGTAGCACTGGAAGGAAAAAGAAACCGAAAGGCATATTTTAGAGCAACTAAATTAGGAGGAAAAGTGTGTGCGAACTGTGAATGTAAAACATGCCTGCATTGTTATTTTACAAGTGTGTTAAAAGAATCTAGCAGCTGCCATGGCATTGTGACAAAATGTTGTTTTGAAATTTGGCTGAAAGGAAAGGATCATTTTTTGGAATCACCACATTGACATGCATGCTCATTGCGATTATTTATATGCAGGCACAAATACCATTATCAGCTGTAAATACCTTGTGGATTGACAGTGTTTGCTAATATCTTCACAAAGGGCCTTGCTTACATTTTCTGATTCTGTGGAGCTTGTTTTTATCCACTCAGCAAGCTGCAGATGAACCAGAAAAAAGAATCAAAATCCATATAAGATCATGTTCCGACTAAATGCATGAAAACCATATGATTCAAAACATTGAATGCAGCTATTAAGCATGCTAAAGATTAGGTGTAACTCCGTATTTGCTAAAACAAAACTGTAGTCAATTCCACCCAACACAAGCCTACCTCATCCTCCGTTTCCTCCAGTAGCCTGTGTAGTAAGTGAAGCTGGTTAGCTCATCCACTCAAATAGTTGGTATGATTCTTACAGAAATCACAGAAAGCCAATATTATCTTTACACAACCAATAAAGTTATGCTTTAAAGCACATGGTGACTGAAGAGTTTGTTTAGCCTTGCCTTTAAGTCAAGTAATCAAGAGTGAAACTTAACAGGTAATAAAAAAAATAATAAGCAATTAGGAAAAGGCATGCATAACATGTTTGGGAGGGTGGGGGATGTAATTGACCAAGACACATACAAATTTTGTATCCACACAAATGAGAACAAGATTATGCGTACATTCTATGTTCTGCCAGCTAAATATTAAAAAAAAAATTAATGAAAATTTCAAACAATATATGCTAACTATTCTATCCGTCAATTTTTTTTAAATAACTGGGAAAATATTGTACCTTCCACAGAAGGTGGACAAATTTTTCGAATGCGCTCGTGCTGCTGCCTTATTTTCTGCAAAAAGAACGACAATAAGCAATAAAGGTCAGATATTTAGAAACAGTCCTTATACACAGATAAATTTTTATTACAATGAAGCAAAACAAACCCAAAGGCAGTGCTTGTTCTTTGCTTGGCAAGCATTCAGCATTTTAATTTACCATAAGAAAATGCAAGTTCATTTCCTTGTCTTGGATCAATTACTAGGGCCATTTCTTTTTGTACTATCCTCCAAGATTATATATTTACATCACTGAATCAGAATTGCTTGTAATAAGACTATCACGTAAGCACATACAGTAACTATCAAAAACACAGTTCTAAACCTGGTGCCTGCATTTTTCTGGGATGATGCATGTAAGAGAACGATTAAGCAGAAAGAATGCATTAGCATAATTGAGAAACTATGGATTGACATTGCACTTCGGGCTCTCAGTTTCAATATAGCAACAGGCCATCAGAAGAGTAAACAGGAGCCACAAAGTTGGTAAAAATTACCAGTTTGAAAGCTATTCCAGTCTGTTACTTTAACCCATCCCTTTTCACCTGATTCCAACTGCATACAAAAAATATGTTAGGTGGATAAATGCTTAGCATATTCAAAGTATACTAAAAAGTGAAAACCTAGTTCATATTTATGTCATGTTTATAACACTTGATACATACTCCCTCCATTCCAATTTATAGGTCGTTTTGGCTTTTCTAGATACATAACTTTTATTATGTATCTAGACATATCGTATATCTAGGAGCATAGCAAAAGCTATGTAACTAGAAAAGGCAAAACTACCTATAATATGGGGCAGAGGATGTAGAAAAGGGATGCAGCATCAATAATATAGTGTTAAGTGCAAATTCTAAAACAGTTATAAATCTTTATTTCCTACCTTCTTTAAGGTATAATCTTGCATCTTATCACATAGGCCATCCAGAAGTTCTACAACCCGAAGCTCACTGACCCTGCACCATGTATACAGAACCAAGTACATAACATTACAAAAGTAAGTGACAAAATATGTCCATAAATTGCTACAAGTATGTGAGGCCAAACGATGCTTGTCAAGATTGAATGGTCTCCATGTGGAATGTTAAATCAAGGATTGTTCCACTAAATATTTTTCAAGTATGCATCAATTTTGTCATTAAAAAATGTATGTGCTCATGCTGTCTTCTTTTACCTGTAATCAATGACCTTCCCCTCCCTCTGACCTTTAGAATTTAAGCGGTTGCGCAAGTCCAAGTGATTTCTCGGCTTCTCCTGTATTACAGGATTCAGGAACAAAAAATTGACCAAATGGTTCCAAAAAACTAATATGATAATACACTACTAAGATTATGGATTAATTGCTTTGTTAATTGTAAAAAAATATATATACATTTTCACACTTGAGAAAGATAAAGATACTACTCCCTCCATTCCAAATTATAAGACGTTTTAGCTTTTCTAAATACATTGCTTTTATTATGTATCTAGACATAGTGTATATCTAAATGCATAACAAAACCTACAAATATATAAAAGCCAAAACATCTTATAATTTGGAATAGAGATAGTATTTAATAAAAATAAAACCGTAATCAGCATTGTAAAGAATGATTGGAAACTCGGATCACTAAATTAAAGGCAACTGAAGGAGAAGCTATTGATTCACTTACACTCGAAATTCCAATCTCTAGCTCTGCCTGGAAAGAAGATAAAGAGACACATCAGAATGTATAGTGTACATCCCAAATTGCTGGAACAAAATGCAGCATATGAAACACAAATCCCATTTGGTGACAGTAGAGAGGCACTAAGAGGTACTAGCATATGTCACTGGAACTCAAAATTGAGTCTTTCCAACAAAATGGTGTATTCCCACTACCTCAGTGCAACATCTCGTTAATCCATTCAGCAATTTCAATTTATCAACACAACAGTGCTAGTCAGGGCCCTGTATCTGCAAAAGTTCAAACTTTGACTCCACCAGCATCGAAATTATTCAGAGAACGCTACATGATCCAGGCCACGATCTATCTTGGACTACAGCTTCACGACGAGCGGAAAAGATCGAAGCTAATTTCTTCACTTCGCTGACGTAAAACGTTTCCAAGACACACTTAATAGGGTGCTCCGATAATGGGAGTAGAGAAAGGCGAAGAGAAGAGGAACTTACAGCAACGGCCTTGCAGGCGGCGCACTTGTCACCGATGGCGGATGCGGAGGTGACGGCCGCTGCGAGGATGGCGGCGAGGAGTAGGAGGGCGCCGGATCTGTGGATTGCAGCTCTTGGCTCCATCTCCGGCGATCTCGCGAGGTCTCGTCTCTGGTCTCCCTCCCGATTTCCAGTCTCCGCTTCCGCCTGGGCGTGGTGGTCTTTTTACAGATATGACCTCGAGATCTTGCACATGTTTAAATACGTCCGTACTGTTTCAGTTAATGTAGAAGTTTCTGGAATTGGGTCAATTCTCTCCTTACGACTACCACTCCACTTTGGCATGCGTCCAAGAAAAATTTCACAGCCATAAGCTTGGCAAATGAAATGCAAGACTGAAATGTTTTGGTTGAGTCCCCTGCATTTTAGCACCTTTAAGCTGAAGAGCCCAAGGACACAAAGCACAAACAGAACAAATGTACAGTCACCGTTAAGAAAAAAAAAAACATTCTTGGTGCTCACATGCTCACATGATAATAATGCTACGATATCAGCACAAGCAATGTTATTACGCTGTACATGGACTTCTCTCTCTGTAATTTCAGATTTTTCAATTACATACAAGAAGACATGGACGCTCGTTTGGCCTATTTTCCACTCCAAGGTCAGAAAAAACATTCGACCAGCAGCTGCAGCATCTCAAGTTCGCCACGCAGCCGACGTCTCCTGATCAACGTTCTCTTCCCACCAAGTAGCATTCTGCATCACAGAAACTCAGTTACTAAACCTCATGATGTGCTATAGTGAAATGGAGTTTATCCAAGCAGGCGCTTTGAAGCTGCAACCAACTGTTTGACTAGGATGAGATGAACCTTGTATCCTCTTCTGAGAAATTCAAGTGAGCTTCCCTCTTCTTCTTGTAAACCAATAACTCTCAATAGTTCTTCTTTCGCCTGAAAGAAGAGAAATTGCATGGCAGGCCCAACAAGCTTGAACGAAGTTAGTAATTTTTTCCCCCAAACACACAAGAGAGCAGAAACGAAGTAGAGCAAATGCATTCGAGTAACTAATGGTATGACCTGTCCCAAAGTGAACCGAGCTTCGCTCTCTGCAACACATGCATAGGAGCCATCAGTCTGCTTCAGCATGACCTGCCAGGGGCCTGAACAAACAGTAAACCAGAAGGTCAGTAGCTGACGATGCTGATAAATAGGGATGACATTGCCCGCCAAAAGATTGACTTTGCATAATTAATTATTTAGTTTGATCTTCTATTGCATACCCAGCACACCAGATCTATCTTCCAAACTGTAATCTTTTCTAGTGAAGAAATCCAAATAAGCTCTCCAGTATTTACCTGGGTATTGGCGGAATACAGCTCCACTGTAATTCACTATGTATGGAGTGACTGCGATTGTCTACACGGTTAAGAAGGGAAAGTAGTCACAGATGGTACAGGAAGCCATAAACAAAAAGGATATGTGTAGATGGATAAAAGTAAGACAAATGAATACCTTGGAGTAGTCACGCTGTCTGATATAAAATACTGGGGTGAATTGAGAAAGGAATCGGTAGTGCAGATCTTTTGGGGGAAACCCCAGAAGCCCCAAGTCAGAACTGCACGGTGAATTGCGTAAGTCACTGCCTCGTAAAGCAACAGGCTATGGTTTGGGATATATGAGATATACCGCAATGTATCTAGTTCAAGATTGAATAGAAGGGCTGGAACAGATGTGGCAAACTTTTCCTGAAATTAGCAAAAGCACGAAGAAAGAATCAACTGGATGTGCAAATAACACCTACATGCACATCACCAGCAAATGAAGCATTATATTCTAGACATACCACATACTTCTCTATAGAAGCAAGGTCACGTGTGCTGCTGTTGATGAAGATATATAATGATGGTGGTTCATCAGATTTCCATCTATCTGTATCCACACCAGGCAACTGGTTATGAAGAAATTATTCATGGGTATTTATATGAGAATTATCTCATAATAATAGCATCAAAACTGACTGATGTTTGTTATTCGATGGTGGAAAGGGAACTTATGCTTGATTTATACACACTAATCGGTCATTTAATTTCCATTTTTCAAATTGTGATAATTCATCAACACGAAAAGGCTTGCTATTTACTAAAAAATTGTAAAGTATTAACATGTATCGTTAGCTCACGGCCATGGCAAATTGGCATAAAGTGTTTGCCATACAGTTAGCTCCTCTAAGAAGATGGCTTCCATCATTCCACGCAAAAGAGTGTCATGAACTCTTTGATAAAATAATATAATGAACAATGTCATTTTAGACTTGGAGTCGCATGTCTATTGCCTTCATTACTGCATTTGGATCAATATATTTTACCTTCATTGTCATCTGAGAAGTCAAAATCCAGAGTATTTCTTATCGATTTGAAGAAGCTGTTGACAGGGTCGGTGGGTACATCATCCAGGGAACTGACAGTTACACCCTCAATCTAAAGATGTGTCAATTAAATTAAGTGCCACTGTAATAATGAAGAAAATTGTACGAGAGGTTGATTAAGAAAAAAAAATTGACACATCATTTACCGTGTCTATAGCTGTCTTGAACAACTGTGACGCCCTACGCTTTTCAGGTTGATCAGGAAACACCTGAAATCAACTAGAAGAAAGCAAATGAGCACAGTTCTGCATCAGGGAGGATAGCGTGTGAAGCTTGAACTTACTATACAGGACCTAGTCCCCTTGAGCTCTTTGAGCTTCCTAGCAACAACAAGAGCAAGCTGGATGTTGGCATCGATGAATTCATCTGAGGAGCCCTGCAGGAGTCCAGCAGGATGATCAGAAACAGAGCAGCTGAGATAGACAGAGAATAGAACAGTGGCCTATAACCCTCTCCCTAATACAGTAATAATTAAGTGATGGCCATTGGTTTTCTTTCGGCAACTGTTGAGTTTGGGGGTCTTGGGATCCCTGATTTAAAGTCTGGCGTTGTTGAATTCCTGGATCTTTAGGTATCATTTACAATCCAATTCTATTTGGACTAAGATTGGAGACCATAAGTATAGGACTAACGGACCAAATGTTCTGTGCTGTGCTGATAATATGACTTCCCCTTTTGGAAAGGGGTGATGTGGGCTATACAGGCTACTCAAACGGGCATTGGAATGGAAGGTTGGACGAAATGGGGAAAAAATCGTTTTTGACAACGGGGCTGTTTGGATTCTCCTCATCACACGAATGAAGACTCGATGGTGACACAAAGTAACCAAAATGTATTCGGGTAGTGGTGCTGTTGGGTTTTAAGGCCTTTTCTGTTTGTCGCTGGCGCGCCAATACGCTGAAACTTAACTGTCTTGAACGCTTTATGATCAATATAAAGCGGGGGAAACCTTTTCTTTTTCTCTAAACAAAAAAAGATAGAGTGATGCATGGACATAAAGCGATGATTAGATAGATGAACCTTGTACGAAGAGATGCTGCTTGGCAGAGGCCTTGGTATATAACACATATCGTCACAATACAGAAGCAGGAGTCGTCCAGGCCAGGAAGAAGGCATGAAGCAACAAGGAAACGAACGGTGAGGAGATAATGCAGGAACGGTGGCAGCAACTGCAGCAGCGAAGGGAGCGAGGTTAGCTCACGGGAACTCGATCTCGAGCCGGGTCTTGCCGTCGCCGATGGCGCAGGCGAGGGAGCGTGCGGCGTCGGTGACGAGCACGTCGTAGGACCGCGGCTTGTACACGGACACCCCGGCCCTGAGCGCCTCCACGTCCCCGGCCCCCGTCCCAGCTTCCGCGCGCGGGGAGACGGCGAGCCGGCGGCGGCGCCGGAGCGGTGAAGAAGAGGAGGCAGAGGTGGCGGCGGCGGCGGCGGCGGCCGTGGACAGGCGGGGCGGAGAGGGGGAGGAGCAGGGGAAGGGGAGCCGGAAGTGGCGGGCGCAGAGAGCCGTGGGCGGCGGGGCGGCCATGGCCATGGCCGTGCGCGCGCTTCGACAGGCCGGGCGGCAGCGTCGTCTGTCGCCTGCGACGAGGAGAGGAGAGAGTGGAGGAGGGAAAGAGACGACGGGTCGACGGCACAGCCGCACGCTGACGCTGCCGCGAGGCGAAGGGGCGACGCCGACGGGACCAATCGAGTCTACTGCCAGGTGGGCCCAGGAGTAACCTCTCGCCTCAGTCGCAGGTGGGACCATGCTTAGAAAGTGAATCGAGCAAAAAAAATAAAAATATAAATAGGTGATGGAGGTGCGGGGAATCGAACCCCGTGCCTCTCGCATGCGAAGCGAGCGCTCTACCATATGAGCTACACCCCCGGGGATGCTCTCGGCTCGAAGCGAGCCTAATTATCCTTTTATTTCACGTGGCGCCAATTTGACAACTACAATTCCTCTAAATTTGATTGGTTGCGGACTTGGGCAAAACCATGGCTGACAAGCGAATAACCCCCGTGGAAGGGGACCCAAAAAAAACGCACTCTAGGTTATCGTTATCGTGGTGCCACATCACATAAAATCACCATCTAAAAATACTTAGGGCATCTTTAAAAAAAACTTTCCTAAATTCAACCTCTAAATTGTTATTTAGAGAGCTATTTGAATAAGATTTTTTTTTCTAAATCTTTTTATCATCCAGTAGTCTTTTTATATCTTGTATGCTCTAGAGCGTCAGTTTGCTTTTTTTATCTTTGGCTGACGAGAAATCCGTAATAGAAAACGGTAATATTTAAAGATCTAGTTAAATAAGTTGTTGGAGTGTATTTTTTTCACCAAACTATTTATTCATATTAGTAAAGAAAGATATAAAGATACTATTTTGAGTTGCTCTTGGAAAGCAAAACAAATCTCCCACCACTAAAAAGACAAGACAACGGAATGGTGCGACAATTTCCTTCGCCTCACCTACGCTTCACCCCGTGCGAAAAAAAACGCGTCGCCCACACTCCCCCGGCCGTGCGATCCCACGTTCCCTCCCCTTCCTCTGATTTCCCTTTAAAAAAATAGATCTTCAATCACCAGAATTTTAGGACATGCAAAACAAAACAAAGACACCACATGCAATCTCGCTTCACTCCCTCGTCACAACAATACGCTCCCCCCCCCGGCCTCAGCTCATGCAATCAATCAACGCAGTTGCCAAAAGGAAATCACCGATCAAAAGATTC